CCCTTTTTTCTCTGACCCTCTACTTTGCCAAGTATGATACTCTTCTCCACGGACAGTTCCCTTCTGACAACATGTCCAAAGGACAAGAAACAAAATCTGGCCATTCTCACTTCCAAGGAGCAGTCCTGCTACACTTCTTCCAAGTCAGATTTGTTCATTCTTCTGGCAGTCCATGGTGTATTCAGTATTCTTCACCAACAGCATGATTCAAATGCATCAATTCTTCTGCAGTCTTCCTTAATCATTGTCCAGCTTTCACATGCATATGAGGCTATTGAAAATATCATATCAAGTGACATCTTTGCTCTTTAACACTTTAAAGAGATCTTTTGCTGCAGATTTGCCCAGTGCAATGCGTTGTTTGATTTCTTGACTGCTGCTTCCATGGTGTGATTGTGGATCCAAGTAAAATGAAACCCTTGGCAATCTCAATCTCTTCTCTGTTTATCATGACGCTGCTTATCGGTCCAATTGTGAGGATTTTTGTTTTCATGTTGAGGTGTAATCTATACTGAAGACTGTAGTCTTTGTTTTCATCAGTAAGTGTTTCAAGTCTTCTTCCCTTTCAGCAAGCAAATATGTGTCATCTGCATTTCACAGGTTATTAATGAGTCTTCCTTCTGTCCTGATGCCATGTTCTTCATACACTCCAGCTTCTTGGATTGTTTGCTCAACATACAGATTGAATGATTATGGTGAAAGGATACAACCCTCAAACACACCTTTCCTGATTTTAAACCATGCAGTAGCCCCTTGTTCTATTCAAATAACTGCCTCTTGGTCTATGTACATGTTCCTCATGAGCACAATTAATTCTGGAATTCTCATTCTTCATTATGTTACCCATAATTTGTTGTGATCCACAGAGTGGATAGCCTTTGCATAGTCAATAAAACACAGGTAAACATCTTTCTTGTATTCATTGCTTTCAGCCAAGATGTATCTGACATCAGCAATGATACCCATTTTTCTCCATTCTCTTCTGAATTTAGTTCGAATTTCTGGCAGTTGTCTTTCAATGTACTGCTGCAATTGTGTTGCATTATTTTCAGCAAAAATTTTACTTGCCTATGATATTAATGGGAGCTCTGGTAGCATAGTGGCTAAGGCACTTGACTGCTAACCAGCAGGCTGGCGATTCAAACCCACCAGCCACTCCTCGGAAGGAAGGTTGGGCAATCCTACTTCCGTAGTGATACTGCCTCGGAAACCCAAGGAGGGGTCGCTATGAGTCAGGGCTGACTCGACGGCATATAACAACAACAATGATATTAATGATATTGTTCAATAATTTCCACATTCTGTTTGATCACCTTTCTTTGAAATGGCACATGTATGGGTCCCTTCAATTCAGTTGGCCCTGTAACTGTCTTCCAAATTCTTTAGTATAAATGAATGAGAACTTCCAGTGTTGCATCTGTTTGTTGAAACATATCAGTGGGTGTTCCCTCAATTCCTGGAGCCTTGTTTTTTTTGCCAGTTCCTTCAGTGCAGTTTGGACTTCTTCCTTCAGTACCATCGGTGGTTCTTGATTACATGCTACCTCCTGAAATGTTTGAATGTCGATAAATTCTTTTTGGTACAGTGAGTCTGTATATTCCTTCTGTCTTCTTTTGATGCTGCCTGTATTGTTCCATATTTTGCCCACAAAATCCTTTCATATTGCACTTGAAGGTTGAGTTTTTCCTTTAATTCTTTCAGTTTGAGTGTTTTCTTACCTTTTAATATTCTAATTCTAGGTCTTTGCACATTTATTTATAATACTTTACTTTGCCTCTCATGCTGCTCTTTGAAATCTTCTGTTCAGCTTTTCACTTCATCATTTCTTCTATTCACTATAACTACTCTCCATTCAACTTAATTATTTCTATAAATCTGTATTAGATTTCGGACAATATGTAAACTTAAAAGTAGGAGTGCATCCTAAAGTGTCTATACAAAAGATATCTGTCACACAGACAATTAATATGCATGATGTTGCTATTTTTTTTAAATCATTTTCATATGCAAAGGAAGGAAAATAATTACAAATCATCCAGAATTTTGATCTCCTTTTATATTACTTACTCATGGTATTGTTGTTGTTGTGTTGTTATATGACATCGAGTCAGACCCAACTCATAGCGACCCTTCCTTGGGTTTCCAAGGCAGTATCACTATGGAGTAGATTGCCCAACCTTCCTCCCGAGGAGTTGCTGATAGGTTTGAACCACCAGCCTTCTGGTTAGCAGTCAAGTGCCTTAGGCACTATGCTACCAGAGCTCCTAACTCATGGTATTATAAAAGTTTTTTTGGGGGTGGAGAATTTACATTTAGAAATTAGATATTAACAATGTCAATTATCTCTGAACAAATAGTCACCTGGAAAACAGGGACCCAGAGTTGAAGCAAAGAGCACACCTAGATTGTAAACATTTCCTAGAAAGATGAGAGAGGTGAAGAGAAGGTAAAACAACTATCATTCCTTCTGTAATAGAATCATACCTGTCTTGAGTTTACCTTTCAAGTCATTGTCTCCAAGGGAAGAAATCCTGTCAATTGCATGTACCTCTCAAGAGAACAACACACTGCAAAAGTGAGTATAAATGGGACATTGGCTTGGAAGGAGGAAATTGACCAAGATTTAAGTTTTTTTCCTAAGCATTTCCTTTATTTTGGTAATTAAAGTAAGATGTTTGCGAATAAGCAACATGTATTCAGAGCCAGGGATGTATTATGCCCTTTACTCCTCAGAATAATTCACTGAAGTAGGAATTGTTGTTTTTGTTGTTGTTAGGTGCCATTGAGATAGCTCCAACTCACAGTGACCCCATGTCAAACACAATGAAATGCTGCCTAGTCCTGTGCCAGCCTCACAATCGTTGTTGTGCTTGAGCCCATTGTCACATCTGCTTTGACCATTCTTGTTAAGGGTCTTCCACTTTTTCACTGACCCTCCACTTCAACACAATATGATACCCTTCTCAAGGCACTGGTCCCTCTGACAACATGACCAAAATACATGGGATGAAGCCTGGCCACTCTCGCTTCTAAGGAGCATTCAATTCTTCAGACAAGGAAAATAAGTTTCTTGCCCAGGACTGCACAACCAGGTAGGTAGTGAACCATGATTCAAACTGTATTCAAACAGTCTCTTGAGCCACTATTTAAAGCTGACATATGGGAACCAAATATAGTTAGTATTTCTTGATAGCACTTTTCCCATCAACATTTCTGGGTCCCTTACATGTCATTTATTAAATAATTTTAATAATGATGACTTTTGCTTACGAAAGATATCAAGCCATTTCTATTTACCATTGCACAAGTTTCTGCTAACAGATATCTAAAGAGGTGGCAGCCCGGCTAGTGTGCATATCATCCTAAGGCCCTTCAAGGTGTTCAGCTTACCAGAGGCTGAGAGGGAAGGACTCACTGCAAGTGAGAGAGGTGCCATATTGGAATAGAGCCTTTGCAAAGAGTTGGCAACAGCTCCCCTTGCCTCAGTCCCTGCTCCCTCTCGAAAAGCCATGTCAGGAAGAGGCTCCATACTCTGTGAGCCTGAGTAGGCTGAGAGCAGAGGCCTGGTTTGAACTTGAGGCTGAAACAAGAATTCCTCATTAGCCCTCTGATTCTCTGAATTGAACCCTTCTGTTGAGTCAGAATTACTTAATAATCTATCCTTAAACAAGTTGCTAGCTGGGAATATGGCCTTTGAAATGAATGATTGAATATTTATATGCACAATTCCATGTATGTTCATATAAAGACTGTAATATACTATCTCCAGTTTAACTATCCACCACCACTCATCTGTCAGTTTGTCATCATCAGTCTGTTGCAAATGAGATCCATTCCTAACTGTGTATTTAAGTCGAATTTGCAGATAAATGGAACAGGTGCGTACAGTTCTTATTTATTCTTACTTTAGTGCAAGAAAGAGCTCAAAACCTTTTCAATGACTGCACATGCAGCCGTACATGCAGCAAGTGAAGGTGATTGTGATGAATTTGTTGAGAGGAGAGCTTAGTTCAAGGAGCTCTGGTAGCACAGTGTCTAAGACATCTGATTGCTAATCAGAAGATTGGTGGTTCAAACCCAGCAGCCACTCTGCAGAAGTAAGACTGAGCAATCTACTTCGGTAAAGATTTACTGCTTTGGAAACCCAATAAGGTTGCTATGAGCTGGAATTGACTTGGTAGCAGTGGGTTTGGTGTTTGTTTGTTTTTAGGGTTTGGTTCAGTCATTTCAAAGTGAGGGCAAATATACAGTAGAGGGCAAAGATGAGTTGTCCATAAGTGGAACATTCATAACCCGAAGATTACATGTAGCAGCTTACATGTTACTATGATGCTCGAAGCTATGCCACCAGTGTTTCAAATATGAGCAGGGTCACCATGGTGAACAGGTTTCAGTGGAGCTTCTAGGCTAAGACAAAGAAAGGCCTGGCAGTCTGCTTATGAAAATCAGCCAGTGAGAACCCAACAGAGCACACAGAATGCTGTGCAAGGGCTAGAAGGCATCCAGAATGCACAGTGGTCACAACTATGGCTAAAACCCGACCCAACTCACTGCCATCGAGTTGATTCTGACTCACAGCAACCCCCTTGGGTTTCTGAGGTGGTGAATCTTTATGAAAGTAGATTGTCCCATCTTCCTTCCGTGGAGTGACGGGTGGGTTGGAATCACAAACCTTCTGGTTAGCAGTCCAATGCTTTAGCATATCAATGATCATGAGGATGATGCAAGACCCAGCAACATTTCATTCTGTTGTCCATGTGGTCGCCATGAGTCAAAGTAGACTGGACAGCAACTGACAACAAGTTTAAATACAACTTAAATATTCCAGTAAAAAATAAAAGTGCATTGTTTTCAATCCTGGTTTCTTAGCCAAATTGGAGCCCAATAAAGTAATGTTTGCTGCTGCTCTGTGGCATACATAACGTCTATTTACAATACCTCTCAATGGATTGATTTCATAAGAGAGAAATTCTCATAATTTTCATCTCTCCCCTAAGTAACTACAGACGACACTATTTTCTTCAAACTCAGTTATCTCACAGCTGAATGCTCCAGCCACACGCTATAACCAGCAGGTACAGTGTTAGTAATGACCCAGAGACAGGGGAAACCCAGGCACAGCCATCAGCTGTCTTCATTTCCCTGCAGTCAGCCCCTTCATAGCCCTGATAACAATGACAAGAAAATTTCTCTGCCATCACTTCCAGGTCTGTATCAGATGTTTTGCCTGTCACAGTAATGTCTCCATCCTCGGAGGTCTCAATGTGGTAACTTGCAGAGCTCAGGTGAAGGTAATCGGGAGCTTTCCACCTCTTCCGGATACACCTGCCATTGTTCCTGCAGAGGTAGCGGCTGCACACCTCAGCCGCTCTGGTCACATTGACTATGTAGCGCCCGAAATCAGAGCTCACAAACTGCTTCACTTTTGTACAGTTGCCCTGCAAAGGCAGAAACACACAGAGTTACAGCTTCTAGGCCCACAAGTAGCTCTCTAGACTTGATATGATACCAGATGCATTGGTTCTAGTTAGTGAAGACTTAAGTTAATGGCAGTTATAACCCAAGGGTCCCAGGTCAGAAAGGGTGGAGGTCTCAGGGACAGAAGGTGGAGAATATGTTACAGTCAGGCTCAGCCATTGAACTTCCAAATCAAATGGGCCTCAAATTCAGCAAATGAGATCATGTCTTCTTATATTAAAAAAAAGAAAAGAAAAGAAAAGAAACACCAACTCACTGCCATCAAGTTGATTCTGACTCATAGAGACCCTATACTCCTTTTTAAATCCTTCCAGCTCCCATGTTAATGGATGTGAAAGGCAGAGGAAGAACTCTAAATTAGAAATGATGCAAGAGCTGGGCTTTTATCTCCTGCCCTCCAGCAACCTCTCACATATTTGGTGCCTTTCATGGTTGTGTCAGAACCTGAGTTATCGTATTCCACAGACTTACTGTCAAAACATCAATGTGAAGCCTTATGGATTTTGCATAGAATTTAAAGATAGGAATGCATGGAAAGCCGTGTAGGTCATCTGGAGAAGGGCATTTACTAGTATGTGTAGGTCATCTGGAGTAGGGCATTTACTAGTATGTGTTCCTAATGGAGGACCCTGGAGTCCCTGGGTGGTGCCAACAGTTGATGTCCTTGGCTGCTAACCAAGAGTTTGGAGGTTCGAGTCCCCTACAGGTCCCTCCAAAGACAGGCCTGGCAATCTACATCTGAAAAGGCAGCCATTGAGAACTATATATATAGCACACATTCTACCTTGACACACATGGGCTCACCATGAGTTGGAATCTACTCAGAGACAGCTGTTTGTTTTCTAACAGAGGCCACCAGGCTTCCTGATGAGCTATGTGGGCTGGAATGGAAAGACAGGAACTGATCCTCACAGTTTCTACCTAATTCTCATACACGGACGGAGAAGACTGTTGACCTGATATTGTTGTTGCGCACCATGGAGTCATAGCGACCCTGTATGATGGAGTAGAGCTGCCACATAGGGTTTCCTAGGCTGCAATCTTTACAGGAGCAGTTCACCAGGTCTTTTCTCCCATGGAGCTGCTGGTAGGTTTAAAGCACCAACCTTCTGGTTAGCAGCTGAGCA